GGCCTATTTTTAGGCTTAATGGGCCTATTTTCAGGCTTAATGGGCATATTTTCAGGCTTAATAGGCCTATTTTCAGGTTTAATGGGCCTTAGGTATTTTGGTACCCAATATTTGACTTATTTTGCTTATTTTATTATTTTTTTAGTGTTTGTGATAGGTTAGCCATTGTATTTAGGTCATTAGAGTAGGTTTCGAGAGAAAAAAAATTAGGCAAAGTTAGCTAAATTAAGTCACATTTAAGAATAATTTGAGTTACATTTTGTACACAAGTGCTAGCCTAAGGTTGGCTTCACATGATCAACTCTTAGCAACATCAAATTAACTCTAAATGCAACCTAAATCAAATAGTGTTTGCATATGGGAGAGCACATGTGGCTGACAAGAAATTTGAATTTCAAATACCATTTGAAACTCAAATTTTCGGCACCAATATGCGTGCAAATGTGTGGCGCCACTTTTGAAGCTTCCTTCGCCTATAAATAGGTTTTCCTCCTTCACTTGTATTCACTTTTGAGATTATTATTCAAAGCATTTAGCTTCAGTTGTGTTCTCTTTTCTTGAAAGTCCAAAATAGCTTAGGAAATTCTAGAGTTCCTAAAACACTTCTAGGAATTAGCCCTTTGTGAGCAATCCTTTGCTCCTTTAGCTTAGGTGCTTTCAACTCTAGAGTTTTTTGCGTCTCTACCTCTGTTCCTCATCCACTTGCATATTCAAATTCACTCAAGGAAGGTCCAAGAAACATTGGAGCAAGTTTACGGAGAAATCATCCATCATTCTCCTAAATTTACCATTAGACACAGACTACATATTATCATGCATGTGGCACTAGTAAAAATATCACATTTGTGCATTGTTGCTAGCAACACACTAGAGTAGTCTAAGAGTATATGTCGGGTTACATCCTCTGTGCACTCTCACTAGAATAACATATTACCAGTGTTTGATCAGGATAACTAAGTCGCGCAAGATACATCTCATGCTCATGAGGGTAAGACTAAGACTTCCAAACCAAGGTATCCCTAAGGTTGGTTCCCAAATTTCGCATAAGAGACCTTCCCTAGTGGTGTAATCCATATGATACCCTTACAAAAATATTTTATGTACAAGATGCATGACAAATAGACTCTATGCATTACATTTACATGATCTCACATTTAACATCTTTCTCATATCACATTACTCCTTATTCGTATTCATATATAAACATCAATACATCAACATTAAAATATAGGAACTACATCATTGAATTTAACAAAAGATCAATAGGGAATTCACAAGTAGGATGGCGCCCAACAACACATGTCTCATGCTAGGTGCGATACCTTTAGAGGATCACATTAGTCTTTGTTTGAAATGTGCCCGACGTGACGAGCCCACATGCAACAAGAACACCATCGAGAGTCCTCTAAAGTGTCAACGCTTGGCAAAAGTCAACTTACATCTAGTGGAAGCATCATAGGAAAGCCTTGGAGCTTCCGCACTCGACGAGGGTCATCCCACACCTGGCATGAGAGACCCAAGAGCAAATCTGATCTCAACCTTAACGACATCTGACGCAACCCAATTAGCGCTTGACAACATATTAGAAACAACACGTATAGCAGAAAACACAAAATTTTGAGTCACACTCCAATTCACCAAAACACACAATTTAATTGGTAAAAGAGTTTTATATTATGCAATTAACATTAAATATATCTCAATTTGCACATACAACTACTATCCCTTCACTATTATCACAATGAGTTCCGTTAGGGTTTCCCACAAGAACCCACAAGGACCTCAAATCATATAATTTTCCATCTAAAACATGAAATTAATCATTCATTCAAACAATTCATGCAATTAATTATCAATAAGAAGAATAGGGCATAGAACATAAACATTAGGGGAAAAGCACATAACATACACACAGGATTGGAAGCCAATCCCATTACTTGACATATAAACTCACACTCAGAGGACAATTTCTCACTCCCATTTACCTGGACAAACTCTAGATAACAAATGCACAACTCTGGGATGATTTCCTTTCCGCTCCTATTCTCCAAGCTCTGAAGCGCGTACGTGAAAATAGAGACGTAAAAAGGGTTTGATCAGAAAACTCCTCTTTTTTAAAATAGACCTAACCTCCCTTTAACTCTCTAGTTAAAACATACTAATCATAGTTATCTTGAAGATTCCTTCCCTTTTTAATAAAATATTGTACTAAATAAAAATATATTCTAAAATATATTACATGATTAAAACAAATATTAAACATCCCCAATTAATAAAATAAAAATAGCAAAATTATTAATAAAATACTTATATTATATTTTATGAAAATAAGGTGTTACATAGGTAGAGAAGTACAAAAAAAGGCTCTAGTTTTCATATTTGGCCTAATTTTATTTTTGAAAGAATTTTCAATACATGCCAAAAAATTTAACCATATGTTGTCTTGCGCATAACAAATGCGATACTTTTCTACCCCAAAGACATTTAATACAACATAATAATAAAATAAGATAGTTTATAAAGAAGAAACTCATATATAAAATAAAAAGATTCACATTGCATAATATGATTTATAAAACACAGATATTCAATAATAAAACAAGTTTCGAAATAGAAATGTTAAACATTAAAACAATCTTTACAAATTGTAAAACAAAATGTAACTATAAGATAAAATTGGGTTTAATAAGAAATACATAAAGGTAAATTAAACATGATAATCTACTCATCTAAATTTCAATGTCACACTAACAAAGCAGACATACTAAAACAAAAATAGAAGTTTAAGTATCATCACTCAACTAGACCACTATCTAGACTTATCAAATTATCAAGCACAAGTTGAATTTCACATTAAGTCACTAATTAGACTTACTCATATCCTACATATAACTCATGACATAAAGGTATCAAGCACAAAATCTCATAAACATATTTCACACACACATTATGACCCACTTATAACTTGTCCAGAAGTGTTTTCTCTCACACTTTTTTTTAAACTATTAATATATATATATATATATAT